TCCAAACACCAAGGAAAACACACAGATCCCCACAGGAGAACTTTTCAAGATGACAGAATAAACATCTACACAACTGAAATATTTGACGTTTATTGACATTTTAGGTGGCTTATTTAGAAGGACGATCTTAGAACGAGGAAGTTAAAGACCTCTTGAAGTCTCATTAAATTTACATCTCGCTTTTGAGCAACCGAGACCCACAAAACATTCCCAAGTATGTATTTCTCTCAGCATTTCTGACAAACAGCAAGAGGAAGGGCTGCCCTTTGCAGTGAAAGGTTTATTCTGGAAAAGTAAAGGTGTTGGTGCATTTGAAAGTGTTTCTTTGAACGTGGTTGGATTTTGGTGGGGTTTTTTTTTGGTAAGTAAACATTTAAAAACGAGGCAAGCACAAAAGATAAAAGCTTTCAGAAAAAAAAAAAAGAGTATAGTATATTTCATGTAATTTGTTTAAATGTAAACATTATCACAGAGAGAAATTTGGGATAAGAAGTGGAAATGTTGTGCAGTGTATCGTTAGAAATTTTTAATGTTAGATACCATGTATAAAGAATCTTTTATTTTCCATCCCATACTGAGACGGTTCACAAAGCATCTGCCAGAACATGGGCTGCTGGTTTGGTGCGTAAACCAAATTAATAATGAGTATGATCTGTAAATATGTACATGTGTCTGTGTATACGCATCATATACTTTTACGTATAGGAACACGTATGCACACAGTGTTTTACATGTTGCTCGCGAACGCACAACACGCAACATTTAGCCAAGCACCTCACTGCTGTCGGAGTTTTCCCAAGGCCTGGTAGGGTCTGGAAGTGAGCAGCCATCCCCTCTCAGCGGTTCTGCGCAGTGACAGACGGCTTGAGTCACGCTTCGCCTTTGGAGAGCGGAGAAAAAAGAATGAGTAATCATTTTGTTTGAATTGCAATAAGTATGAAATATTTCTCGGGAGCCAAAGAAATCTTGGAAAAGCAGAAAGACATTCTTAAATGGCTGGTCATAATAGGAGCATTGTCGCATTGTGGTGCTTCTTTCTTAAAGGGAAGAAAGCGTCAGGGTTTCAAAACGTTTCATTCATAAGCGTATGAAGCGAGCACGCAGGATAGCACTTTTAGAGGAATTTAAACTAGTAATTAAAAAAGAAATAACTGTAATTACCTGCTTCTGGTTTCATAAGTGCAATTTGTCTTTGATGTATCTAGTGAAAAAGCCTTACCCCTTCACTTAGAGCCCAGTGATAATGATTATTGGAAGAGTGAAAGTATGACCAAGTTTCATGTGTTGCCAGCAAGGTGCCTTTTTGTAGCCAATTTGCATTTCAGTTTTGTAACATTTTGGCTGTTGAAGTCATTAGGTCTGTTGATACCGATTGCATAGCGCTTTTAAGGAGGGAAAGTGCTGTTGGGGGAAAAGTCCTCTTCTCTCCCTCCCTCCCTCCATCCCTTGCTAAAAATGACAGATTTTTTTTTTCTTCCTATGGAGGAACACTTTGATTTGAAAACTGCCATTGTATTTGAAATTTGCTTCTCTAGAGTAGAACTGTGTTTTAAGAACAAGCGCGTGTGCTGGCTACAGTTTTCTGGGTTAACTTCTTATTTTCACTTAGAAAATTTCTTTTCAGCTGGAAAAATGTTTTAAATTATAGCCATTTAAAAAAAGAATTGCTCCTAGCAAGCAAAAATACTGTGGAAAACCTGTAATTTAGACAAGTACCTACATTTTATTTGCTCTGTGCTGCTGAAATTTAGAATCCCTTCCCATTTACAGTTTACTTTTCACAGAACATTATTAACTTTTTGGCTTCATACATGATCTTCTGTCAGATGCTTTTGATTTGTAATTTAGCAAAGTATAATAAACAGTGCAAAAGTCATGAATTTTCCTCCGCATCCTGAGCTCTGTGGTAGGGAAAATGTGATAAAATGTGTACCTTAAGTCTTGTTTGATGATCTCTCAAAGCAAGTTTGCCTTCTGGAAATAATTTCTGGGGTTGAAGAGCATGGTATTAACAGATTTAATGTGGCTATTCAATGGATTGGTGGAGTACTATGTGAGGTTTAACAAAATGAGAGAGACAAATTGAACATCAACAAAACCTACATCTGTGAAGAATTATAAATTTAATTAGAAAAAAGGCAAACTTAAAAGACCTCATTAACTAATCAGAATTTGATGTTACTGATTTAAGATTCTTAAATGGATGAATTTTAAGTAGCTTTGCTATCATTGTCCTTTTTTTCTCACCATGTACTATGTAGTACCCAGATCTGCAATCCAAATTAAGGAGAAAGATGTGAACGTTACTTACAACAATCAAATTATGCACAGTGATATTTTTGAGGTGTTAAGGCGAATGTGGATGTCATTTAGCATATAAGGCATTTTTAGTTTAAGCAGAGTGCAGAGTATGAAGGGTGAGTGACAAATCACTTTTTGAAGTGACCAAAATATTTTTGATTTTTTTTTTTTTTTTTTTTTTTTTAATGTGCCCCTTTGGCTGGCTGGGTAAGGCTGTTGCTTTTTTTTTTTTTTTTTCTCCCCCACTTTTTGTTTGATATGCGTGTTATGTTGCAGAATTTCAATTATCCAGAAATCTGTTGGCAAAAAGGGAGAATGTATGAGAGCAAGCACACGCCACCCAGAAATGTTTTTATTCTATGAGCTGGTCGTCATAAGTGTGGTTCCTTACTACGTTGTAATTTTGTACTACACATAAAAAACTGAAAGCATGTGAAGTGTAGCATTTTGTAAACTGTAACTAATTTCACTCACATCTGTGTCTAATTGTTGTCTGCATTCGCATTCTTGAGAGTAGATTTATTTTTCCTGGACCACTCTGTGGATTCAGCTGACCAGCCTAAGTGAGGATTAGTTGTTTTAAAGTTATTTTGATTAAAGAGTCATTTTTAAATATGGTAACGTGCAACACATGGTTTAAATAATCCTTGAGACACAAAGGAATATATCTAAAGTATGTCTAATGAAAATGAAGATTGTGGATATGAACTTTCACAAATCATAGAGTGTTAGAGGACATATAAGGTATATATTTAATTCACTTTGAATGAACTGTAGGTTTTTTTTTTCCTTTCCCATGAATCTGTAAATGAAATCTTGCTCACATACACACACGTGCACGTGTGTGTGTATATATATATTTTTGTAAATGCGTGGAAGTTATTTTTTTTTTATTTGGGTAAATAAAATAGTGAGGACTAAATGTGTTTTAGAGTTTAGTGAAGTATGAATAGTACTGTAGGGCACTTCAGAAAATAACAGTTAATTAAAGCATCTACTTGAAAAAGGAAGTTTTTTCTATTATAAAAGATATGTTTTAAAGGATCCTGTGCAAGAGGGAGTGAAGATAGCTCTGTAAGCAAACTTAGTTCTCACCTATAATTTTTTCCAGGTGTTTAGAAGTAACAGCAGAAACATATCCTAAGGCACTCTGCTGCAGTTTCTGGGGTAAAGAACTGGAAAAAAAAAAAAAAAAAATTTTTAAAACAAAATGCACAGTTTTGAATGTATCTGCTCATCTAGTTTGATTTGGCATGCGACGATGTATTGAAAAGCACGTTATGCAGTACTTTAAGTACCCAGTTATGAAAAGATTGATGTTTTTCAGCGTGCATTATTGCATGCTTCTTGACATCATTTGTAATGTTCTGCATTGCCTGGCTGCCCCTAGCACTTGTTTACTCTTGCTAGTAGTAATTCTGTCTGTGATTAAAAATAACAAAAAAAACCCCTACAGACACATAAGTAGGATTTGCTTGGATGATTTTTATGGCACTTAAAATGCCTCATCTCTCTTGTCTTTGCTCTGTGATCATTTAAGAGATGTCAGTTCAGGTTGACTGGGAACGCACATGAAGGATTCTCAGTGCAGACATTAAGAGGATATATACCTTGCTCGGACAAGCTTTTGTGTGCTTTTAAGCTAACGCTGTCTATAGCAGCGTATCTTCACCTGAATTTTATCACCTGCTGACAATTGTTACTGGCTACAGAGAAGAGTCTGTTAGCAAAGCAACGGTGTTTTTCTAATAGGGTAGGAAGATGTATTACTCACCTGAGTTATAAAAGGAATCGTTTTATTAAACTGGAAGATTATTTCTGGGCTTCCCAGTGGAACCAGATTCTTTTTCTTGATGAGCGGCCTCAGAGGTAAATGCTACAGCTTCCTCCTATTTATTTAGAAAGAAGTGTTCTTTTAAGTAATTTTATCAGAAGTGTCATTAGTGACCGGAAGTTTTACGAGTAAGACCTTGTGCAATAACGTATGGGGGTTTTATTTTAATTTGCCCCAGTTGGAGATGGGCTTGTGTAATACTGTTGGTCATATATTGAAGATCACTACCCTGGGTAGACCTGCCCCTTTTTGTCCCCCCCTCAAAAAAAATAGCGTCAGCCTCTCCGGCTTGCCTTGCCCCTCGCCTTTGGGGTGAGCTGACTTGCGGGTTCCCCGCTGCCCAGGCGCGGGGGAAGGATGGCGAAGAGCGGAGGAAGAGGAAAGCCAACGTGATGAGGGCAAGAAGGTGTCAAGAGTCGAGGGGACAGGAGGGAGAGAGAACCCGGCCGGCGATAACAAGGGGGAAGAGGGGTGGAGGATGCTGGGGGGCTCGGGGCCGGAGCGGCTGCATGCCCTTGGCGGGGCGGCACGGCGGGGTTTCCTTCGTGGGGGTGCGCAGCCGTGCCGTGCCGTGCCGTGGGAGGAGTGAGCCCCTCTGCAGCTGTCACGGGCCCCTGATGAATCACTATCCCGTCACTTGGCCGCCGTCCCCCGGCGCGGGGAGGAGGGAGAGAGACCTGCCGAGGAAACAACAGTTGAGCCTTCAATTTAAAGACAATATGCCTTTCACAGGCACTGCACCCTCCTCCTCTCCTTTTGGGTTTAAAGGACAGAATTGTCATCCGCGGTGATATACTTTCTTTAAATTAAGGCCTCGTAGTAAAGCGGAGTAATAGAGGCTTCTGTTTGTTTCCCTGGTTTACAGGTGCAGAAGTCCCAAACCAGTTCAGATGTTGCTGTTGCCTCAAGCTGCAGGTAAGGATTTGATTGAAAATTGCTATTTTTCTGCAAGCCTTTTATTATTTTTTTTTAACGTCAGGTGATCAGTAAATTTTTATTCTTGTTTTCTGCATTAAGCAGATGAGTAAGTGCTGGAGCGTCGCTTTTACATGCGTGCGACCAAGTCTATAACCCACTAGCACGTACACTTTTTCACTAAATTGTTTGACTTTATATTAGATACTGGCTTTTCAAACTCATTGCAGTATCATCCTTTTTTATATGTAGATTGGTTTAGGTATGAAATATAAAATGAAGGATTTGTGTTCAGAACTTGTGATAAAATCTCAATTAAAATGTGAAAAATTCATGGCTGAAATCACACACTGAAGGATGTTTCTACCATTACCGTGTGTGGAATTTTTAATATGATTTGAATAGTCTTTAAAAGAACCTAAGCATTTCTTTTAAACAGAAAAATTACTGGTTCAAATGCCTTGGAGGCACAGTAACCTATGAAATTTCTAATGGGAGCAATTACTCTGAGTACATCAAAAAACATTATCAAAAGTTTTATGTATAAAGAAACAGAAGGATGGGGCACTTCAATCACAAGCTTCCCCAACATAAGCTAAGGGAAATGTCATGGTGGTGACGGCTATTTGCTTTTTTATGTAAGGCTATTAAAAACGCAGATTGGAACTATTCAGCTGCTTGTGTGCCATATAAGTGTTCAATTTTCGCTTTGAATGGGAATTGCTCCTTTCTTATTTTGACTAAGCGACAGCTGCTGAGATACAGCAGAGTGCTAAGGCGTACTAACGCCTCTATGGGTTCACTATATGTTGGTCATATCCCTTTTCAATTGGGCACGCTTTATGTAATCCACAAAGCAAACAAGTGAGCAGACATAATAATGTTTTAATGCTGCATTTGTTTCAACGGAAACAGAGGAACAATTAAGTAGTTTGCCAGAGTAAACACATACATCAGGAATATCTCATTCCCTGTCAGTAGATGATAGGTTTCCACAATTGCTTCAAGTCTTTTATTTGGTTTGGAGGCCCATTATATTGCCACTGAGTGGTAAATCTTGAAAAAGCAGAGTGTTAATTTGTTGTTAAGCGAATATATGTCGTCGTATATTGGTGATTTCGTCTTTATACGTACCTTAAAAATACAAGGTGACACGAATGTTTAAAGTACTGTACTTCATATCTATATTTTATTTTGTTAGAAGCTGCAAAAATAATTGCAGTAGCTGGTCAGCCATGTCAGGGGGCTACAAAATGAGTTTAGCACTAGAAAAGATCTAGTTGGGAAAAGCTGTTCATTTTTTACTAAGCGTTTTGGGGATGTTGATTAATAGCGGGCTGCACCTCATGTAGGTAATTCCTCTGTAATCCATGTTGAATATGTCACTAAAACTAGTTGCATCTTGTTTTCAGGTCTATGGAAATGCAGGATCTAGCCAGCCCACATAGCCGACTAAGTGGTAGTAGTGAATCCCCCAGTGGTCCAAAACTTGATAACTCTCATATAAATAATAATTCCATGACACCCAATGGCACAGAAGGTGAGCCACCGTTTTTTTAGTGTTTCATAGTTTGTTTTTTCTATTTGAAAAGAACACTGTAAGAACACTGCATCAGTGTTCTTACAGTCAGTAAGCCATATAGAAAAAATGTTTTACTATTTTAGGTGTTCTTTGTTTATGTAATGTGGTGTATAGGGCTGATACTCAATGTTTATCAGTAGTTACTATTATCAAGTTTCAACAATAGCTTTCATTCCAGGTTTATGTTCCTTTCATGGAGTTTGAGTGGCCTGAGCAGACAGTATATGCACAGCTTAAAAAAAAAAAATCCACAAAACCTGACAGGGTAGTTTAGTGATGAGAAAAAAAGGAACTGTTTACAATTGTCGTACTACAAAATGCAATCTTTCAGTCTTTTTCACTATTTCAGTATTTCTTTATGTTCTCACTATTTTGCAAGCTCTTAAGGCTGTGAAAGTTTTGTCAAGTAGACTCATAAAACTGAGTGTTGAAATTTCCTCGGGCTAGCTTGCTGCTCTGATGGAGTGGCCAGAATTCAAACAGGTGTAGTAGTTCAATGGGGTAAACCGATACCTATTTTCCAAGAAGCAGTCAGGCAGTGGATAAGTTATGTTTGTTCTCGGTAGAATACTAACAGCAGAACAACCTAACAGCTTTGCCGGTAATATAATATATCTATATACATATAATAATACATATAATGAAACACAGAAGGGTTTATATAACAAGCAGCAAAAAATACTCTTTCCTGTAGCATTTCTATAGCAATAGTGGGAAAGATCGTACATGACGTTTGGCTAGCTATGTGAACAGAGGTTTTAATGTATTACTAGAAAAAAGACTCATGCAGCTTCAAATATTACTTTTCAATGTAAATGTGTCGTTAAACAACTGTTGCAGAAAAGATATGCCTTTTTTCCCAAATAACTGGGTCATATTAGTCCTGTCAGACTGTTTAGGATTATGGCCATGCATTGCATTCTTCCAGGAAAGGCACATGTCAATCAAACAGATGTCGTCCCCCCTCAATTCCCCAAACATCTCTGTTATTCATTCTAATTGGAGTCCTCTGTAATGGGGCGGGTTTATGGGTTATCAGATTAACAGGCATTTGTGCCAGAGTTGCGTATAATTTACTTTTTGCTATTGCTGTAAGAGTATTGCCACAATCAAATTTTAAGCCATTTGAAAAAGAAAAAAAAGTAGCTTTTTAAAGAATAAATAAAGTGTTTAATGTGTTAATGTAGTTTAAGAAGAAAAATATTTCATGTCCACAGATGAGCCTTCTTCCTCTTTAATACCCAAGTATGTTGCTATAATTTTATATCATATGATCAGGTGTATACCAGTTTTGGTATAGGATAAAATTGCTTGACCCTTTCACATTAAAATTCCTCTTGTTCACAGAGGCTTTTGCTGTAAAATTCATCAGTTTCTGTACCCTCTATGTAACTTGGAGGTTCTTTAGTAACACAAAAACAGGGAGTGTTCCTTGAAATGGTGAAAGACACTCGCCATCTGGCTCGACTTCTTGTTCGAAGTAGTTGTTTTGTGCAGGCATACACTCTGAAAAATGGGGTGCTTAATATTACCTCCTCAGGAAATCAGCTATATATTGTATCTATTCATGCACTGACCTCAGGTAGCAAATAATTTTGGAAATAATATCCCAACTTCTCAGTAGGTGTCACAATTTATCGAAGAAATTAAATCATGGTAACATATTTATCTGACACTAGAATTTTTAAAGTTCAGGCTTACTAATTTTGGGTGAATTCTACCCAGAAAGCTATAACTTGCAATACGTGTTTACCTTCTGAGACGAAGCCAAACGATTTTCTTTTGTTTGCAATTTTCCCTCAGGTGACATGACCCTCCTCAGCACTGCAGACTGGTTGCTAAGCCCTAGCACACAGACCCCCGCAGGTTTGGGTGGCTGCGGCGGGCGCAGCAGGCGTGGGCACTCAGCATGCGTTTTCAGATGTTGTCCAGAAAGCGTCCCGAGAAATAGCTTGTGCTTGGCGATTCTGGTCTAAACTTGTTAAATTGAAAATTCCTGTCTCTGATTGCTCTTAACTGACAAATAAGGAAAAGGTTGCAAAAGAAACATAATTGAATAATTTATTTCCAAATTAGATGTGTGCCAAGAGACAACATTTGTGAGCGAAGCAGATGTCTAAGAATCTGAAGGTGGAATTTTTAACGTTAATCTGTTTTATCTGGAGAAAATATTTAGTTTGGGTTCCTTGAGCTGCTAAGCAGGCTTAAGAGAAAATGGAGTGAATGAAGCAAGGGATTGTTATTTTTTTTTAATGAAGGGTGAAATAAAATTATTTTTTCTGAGATTCTTGAAGCAGAATCCTGCTGAGACACAAGTGGCAGATTGTAAGGATGCAGCTGTAAGGGCTCGCCAAACACCTTTCTTAAAATGCTGCAGTGTGGCTTGCTTGCTTGTTGCACGTGGAGTGGAGATGAGGGTTGCTGAACCTTCACATGTTAAATATAATATGTGAAACCAGCTTCTAATCTACTACGCACTCGTTCTCACTAACATGAAAAAGCCCTCCTTTTCTGGCATGAGGGACCTTCATGTGAATGAGAAACAGGGCCTCTAGGTATTTGCATGTTATAAATATCGTGTAAAGATATGTTAAATTTGATTTGACTATGGGTGTGATTTCGGCAGGTTTCCATACCCCGAAGTGCAGGATATGTTCACTGGATGAGGGAGAGGAAAAAAAAAAGAAGAAAAAAACCCCCAAACAAACCCTGTCCCAAAGTGAAATGGCCCTGTTTCAAACAAATGTTCATTAATTCCTCTAAGGCATATTTTCAGACTTGTCTCTTATTGATGTTGTTCTACAAGAGGATGTGGTTGGAAGATAGCTCACTGTTATTAGCTAATGTTAGCTTCACACTTAGTGGTAAACTTTCAAAGCAGTGAATGGGGATTTAGTTGTGTGATTGAATCTCAGTTTAATCTTTGCATGCAGCTTTTGTATAATAACTCTTTGTGTGCTTAATTTCACTTTGGTAGAGCAACATTACTGTAATGCAGAACTGACCAGGTAGTGCTGGTTGAGGACCACAGATGAAGAAATCCAGGGAGTTTTGAGTGACCGCTATTTATTTCCTTCTATCTAAACATTTTTAAACAAGTCAGATTTACTACTTGCCTCAGACAGCAATTGCTCTTCGGGATTCTTTTAGAGCATAGTGATTTCTGTAGAACAAACACTATCCTTTTACCTTTGTAGCAGATCATGAGACAGTCTTTATAGCTCTGGATGTACGTGTGGTGACAGAAAAGAAGCATTTCCTTAACATCTTGATTTAAAAAAAGTCATAGCTAATAAGAAGTAATTCCTTAGCTAATGTTCGGATTTTTCTTCCTTTTCTCTGGGCTGGGCAGCATGGTCTTCAAACCAGTGATGGGGAAGTAACAAGGAAATAATAGACCTTGACCAGTCAGAAATTTCACAGGATCAAATGCAGAGGAGTAACACTAAAATGTCTGGCTAAAGTCTCTCAGAAAAATCAGTCCTGGCATGCCAAGGTGGTGCTGGTGATATAAATACTGCAGGTTTTGAATTTTCCATGTTCTCTTTAAGTGCTTTTCCACTCTGTCATAGGGAACAGCAGACACTGGACACCATTGAAAGTTTGGCCCTGTATGACTTGCCTAAGAAAATTTGTTTTAAAAAAAAAAGATAATTAATATAGGGAACAAAATGTTCATAGTTGTGCCTTATCAGCAATTAAGTTGTTCCTTTGTCAATGAATTGCTGTGATGGGTTGATACTGAAGGAGCTAAAGAAACAGTAACAACAGAAGCTAATAAAATTGCCATTCGTTAAGTTTTTTTCAGACAGCTAGTGGCTTTTCCAACAACAGTGCCCACTTTGGTAGATATACTTTAGAGGGGAAAGGCTGTGAGTAATCAATAAATTTGAAAGGAATAGCAAAGCCGTTTTCCACAGCAGATGACTCCATCCAGTTTTTGCCTACAGTGATCTTTACTTTTATCTAAAGAATGTAAATCAGTTCTGATGGATGACATAGAGTGAAAGCCTGTGGCCCACCATGATGATGTTTTATGCAAGTGGAATGGAAAAGAATAGATAAAGACTGGGAGAAGGAGCCATGGTTTTACAAGCAACTACACTTGATCCATGTTAGGAGTACGGAGCTGCTCTGCCCTCATTTTTGAGTGTTCAGAAGGAAGAAGAGAAGGCATTTTCATATCAAACAGGAAGGGAAAATGGATAACAAATTGAAGATCAGATTTTCAAAGATACACAGGAAGGGAGGCTTCAAAGGGAGTTGGACATGAAAATTCTTTTGGAGAAAAAAAGGTTCTCGCTCTTTAAGTACCTGCTGCAACATGAGAATGAGATCCCACACAAAGGCAGTCAAAGCTCCCCACTACATTACTATCTGATGGGTGGCCATTAGAAAGGTTGTTTTAAGTCTAGTGAATAAAAATCCATCTTCAGGGTTTCAAAAGGCAGCGCCACGTAGTATGTTTTCTGTTGAGTTGCAGTATTAGAGAATGGAGAAAAATTGTTTTCAGCATCTTCAGTAGTAATGGTGGAGTAAGATTTTGAAATCCATAGAGGGTATGAGCTGGTCGTTGTTATGGCACATGATGTAGGTTTCTGTAAGTAAACTATATGTTGAGTACTAGTTGTAATTCTAACAATACTTTGTGGCACTCAAAGTAGTCTTTCAGTATTGCAATCAAGCCTGGATGTTGGCAGTGAATGATTTTTAACTTCGTATAAGTTATTTGTAATTTTTAATACTTGGTCATAATTTTGTGTACTTTGGGATGCAAAGCTGTGGTAGGTGATGGCAATCAGACAAAATGATCCTCCTTTGGGAGATGCTTGGGTTCTGGTACCTTTTAATTGCTCATTTCTGGAGTTTCTGCCAATTATGTATGCTGAAGTTTCTAGACTTGTGTTTGTGATTAAGAACTTGTGATGGATGCAGGGATACCTCCATATTTAGACATCCTGAAATAATAGCGCAGTAAAGGTAAATCTAACATTTGCATTACAGTAGGGTGTTAGTAGCAAGAACTATTGATGCTAACTTCTTTACCCAGCCCCAGAAGAGTGCAAGAGGACAGTTGTGTGGCCAGAGGCAAAGACTGCAGTGGTCCAAGGACCCAGGCTGGCAAAAGCAACCTGGGGGCCTGTAAGGGGCTAGTACTAATCCCCAACCTGCTGCCACTTGTGGAGAATAAAAATCAGATCACACCACTGCCCATTTATGTGAAGGCAAGGGGCTGACTTGGACTGTCTTTTCTTCCTGCTCTTTACCTTTTTCTTCTTGCTGTATTACATTGGCTTCCTTCCAGACTCTTTGTCTTATCTGTGCTTTTATTCTCCTGCTTTCCCAAGAGTCCTTCCGTCTGTTCTGAGCACATGTAGCATAATGCTCTATTATTCCCCTTTCATAGGTTTTTGGCCAGTGAAATAACTTGTCTACTCCTCTGTTGGCTCAGTCCCATAACTCCTGTTGCAAGATCTTGAGGAGGAGACTGGCTAATAAATACTTACATATTTATTGTCTTTTCTGTATGTATGTGCACCTGTTTGTGAAAGCTTCACCATTTTGTTTTCCCCCATAACATTTTCCTGAAAGAAAGGACCTCATTTAAGTGAAAAGTTAATAGCGGTACTGGTTCCCACAGACAACTGAGGGAAAGAAAATATTCCACATGACAAATGACTTAAAAAAAAAAAAAAAAAAAAAAAAAAAAAGAACATCTTGGAAGCACCATTATTTTAATATAATTTCCTTTTGCAAGCTTCTCATAAACGTGTTCACAACACATGCTGTTCCAGACTGTGGATGGAGCGTGGTGGTGTGAGAGCACCCTCAGAGTGTGTCTGAGGGTCCCAGAGCCCTGCTGGCACAGTGGCTTTGCACAGGCTGTGGGTTGTCAAGAACCTGTAAAATACTCACTGCTTCACCGAAAACTGTCACTGCGACACATCGCACTAGGTGCGGCGCCTCTCCAGTGCGACCGGCCTGTTATGCCCAGTCTGTGTGTGTGCAATGACGTGATTGCACAGCGTAAGATCGAAATATCATACACCTGGCCAGTAATACAGATGAGAAGGAAATCCAGCCCTTGCTATTAGTGTGCACCAGCAGAAACTCCAGGGAACCAGGAGGAGAACATCTTGGTCTAAGATCACACCTTAATAGACAATAGGCTGATATCTGAAGAGCCTTAGCAACTTCAGAGACTTGTGACTTGATGATTTATCACTTCCATTTGCATCTTGTAAACTTCTGAGGGGTTTTGCATACCACAGGTGGATAAAAAATCCGAAACGTGGTAGGTAGCCATGTCATCTGACCCCTGGTCAGGGAGGGAAGTACCTGGTTTGATGCCACAAGCCGGGGAGTTTGCTGCTGCTGTTGGGTGGAAGGGAGTGCAAGCTGGCGCTACCCCTTTTTGTCCAGGTGAATTTGGCTTTAAGTCTGGCAGTCCTGGAGTTCAGACCATGGCAAAAGTAGAGGATGTTATTTCCCATTTATGAAAGTTCCACCCGCTTTGTCATTCTGCTTCTGTCTTCGTGTCTCAGTCTTGCATCTTGTACACCTAAGTGGCAGAGTGGGCTTGACTTCTCCGTGGAGCTCTCCGTTCACTTGAAGCCCTCTGTGTTCCCAGAAGGCAGCTGAACACAACCGTCTTTGCCATTCATGGGGGCTGTGATGCTGTGTGGTCATCCTGTCTGGCTTTGGCTAAAGAGTACTGGTATTTTACACGGACGCTGTGCAAACTGTTACACATGTGCAGGGATGTTGCCATGGTCAAATTCCCTACTTAGGATTTAAGAAGGAGGGAAAAAAAGAAAAAAAAAAAGGAAATAGGCCATAACGCTTCTAAAAGGATTGTCTCTGGA